TTACAAATAACACAAGCCTTATGACTACAAGTTATCATGATTAAATTCAATATCGATTACTAACAATCATAAAATACCGTTACAAGATATCATAACTTTGTAGCAATTATGATAAAGATTTTTGAAGAATCTTGATTACAAATAATCATATGATTTATGATTGTAAGCATTATCGCGATTGCGTGTAATACCGGTGGCATGTACTTTATATTAAAAGCAAACCATCAATTATATGAAAAACCTTCTTAAGTATTCGGATAAACATTTATCATGAATCATGATTACATACAATGTTGACTACGCATAATGATGTGAAAAATAGGAAACATTTTAAATTATTTAATTTATCTTATTAAATCCTTTAAATAAACTCTGATTTTTTTTTATTTAAGCTTTTTTTCTCAATGTTTTTAACGTTTGCATGAAACTTGTTCCGCTTTTATATCTACATTGAGATACCGACCAACAGGCATAAGGTTCTAATCTACGATGGCACAGTACTGCCATTGTGAAGCACTGAGGTTCTTTCTTTCGTTGGCGTCTTAAAGCCCCCTCAGCTTCAGATCGATAATTGCCAGCTTGTTTGTGAAGTAAAAGCAGGTGATGAGCAATGCTGAACATATTGATACCATCATGAACCTAGGTACATGCTCAGGGTTTGGAGGAAAGAAGAAAAAAAAAATGATACCATCATGACCCTGGGCATGAAATTGTGATAGAATTAAATTCTATGGCTCTTTTGGTCTACTATGGGCAGTTGCGAGAAATCTTGTTGCGAGAAATCTGCTTTTATTTTTTGTAATTTTGATTGCTTGTAATCATGATGAGTAGAATAATAAGCTCTGATTTAAATATCCTTTATTACTAATTACGATGTTTCAGTTGGATATTTATTCAAACTTACTATGAGGTTCCTGTAAAGCAACACAAAGTAATGTTTTTTTTGACAATTTTCCATAGAAATCGTAGTACTATTTTAAACCACAGTGAATGTTAACTGCAAAAAATTCCTGATCAAATTACAGTAAAAAGTACCGGCACTCAGGTTGCTGGAATTTTTCACTGTAAAATCCATTTATACCAGAATAGAAAATCTGATATACAGTAAATTTTAAAGTAATAATTACCGCAAAATCACTGAATAAATTAAATTAAATGTACTGTAAAAATTACGGTATAATATTTTACAGTGAAAATGGCCCCCAAAGTGCCCCAATACTTCATTCAGTAACTTGATCCAGTAGTTTTTACAGTGTAATCAATAAAATTGTTATTCTGGTTCACTATGTGTTGAAATGATCCATTCATATCTGGATTACTTGTAATCGCTGATAATTAGTATTTGTTGATTACTTGTAGTCATTGATAACTCTGAAGAACAAATGAACAAATATTTTGTTGCATTTATACAAATGCTTGATCTTGCCTAATTCGGGTATGGAGATTTCAAATCAGAAATTGGTTTTGCTCCTAAAGCTACAGACTTTTCTTAAATAACATTTTTAGTCTATTTTTTGTAGAAATGAACAACGTTATATGTGACAGAAGGTAGCATAAATGTTGCAACAAACTTCTAAGGCTGTTAGCATACATCATCAAGATTAAAATTGCATAGGAACCCATGCTCAGAAATGTCGTCGAACGTGGTTAGATGTGCTTCCCTTATTTGACTTGTTCGGAAGCACACGAAGAAACAAATTGATGCAGAAAAACAAACTCCTAACTGTTGTAGAAGTTTGTAGCAACATTTATGCAACTCTGATACATAAAACGCTTTTAAACATGTTTCGACAAAAAATAGACGAAGAGCGTAATTTATTAAACAAATTGTAACTTGGTGAGAGATACCGGTTACAAATTTGAAATTAGTGACATGAAAATATACAAAATCTCTTAAAGTCTCATACAACAGGAATAAATTTTTTTTATTTGTGTAATGATTAGTCATTAATATCCTGTAAGAACAATTACAATATTAGTTAAAAATTGTGATTATCTCAAATTGCAATGGATTAACATGTATTGATCACCTGAAATTGATTAATATTGTAGTTGATATTTGAAATCAGCGTAAAACTTAAGCATAAATTCATGACCAAACATTAGATTTTATTTCTCCTTCGTTCGACTCCTATACTGCTGACAAAACTGAAAGAATAATATAAAGTATTGATATAATAATGAAACAAACCGTACACAAAGCTAACAAGCATTTATTAACATTTTTAACATCAGCACAATTATATACATTGGCGTCTTGCAGGTAAACAAATTGTCAACGAAATTTTTTTTTCTCTGTAAAATTGCACACGAATGCACAAAATACTTACATAAATAAGTAGTATTAAATAGTTTTTTAAATGAAATATGAAAAATACTGGAATAAGATGTTTGTGTGTGGGGCTAAACAAAAACCGATAAAGTGCGATTTGTGCACCCAGCGAAATAAACAGTGGAACGAAACAAATTACAGAAATATCTATAGAGTTAAGATCGGTATCTTGCTTTACTTTCCTGGGAGATTTATAATTCTTTGAAAATAATTTAATTTTGTTTTGCCTTGCATAATTGTTTGGTAAATGGATTAGCGATGAATAATTGCTACTGTATCGATGGATAGTTGCTGTTGTAATATTCGTTAAGTGAGTGACAGCTTTGTGTGTTTTCTAAATTTAAAAAATTTAAATTTCAAGAATTTTGTCAAGAAAACAACGGCTCTGATGAAATTATATCAAAATTTTCTCAATTGCTAGCTAATTGAAAAGACTTGGATAAGTGTCTTTACATCTCTTTGTTGATACAAGATATTTTTCTATGGTTTCTAAGAAACAACTTAGTCTTTGAACACACCGTTTTATGAAACACATTCAAAGTTAAATGTCAGATAAAAGTTTTTTTGTAATCGTATCAAGTTTGAAAAATTGGTCTGATATAGTTTTTGTACTGACCAACTTAATGGTAGAAAGTAATGCAATAATGGTAGCATATTATCATAGAAGTTGTCACAGGGTTATGATGAAAAACTGGTGAGTGGTAGTGAAAACTTTGCAAACAGCTTTCACTAAATTGGCAAACGGTAGATTAAAAAAAAGTCATTTGCGCAGAATTATCAGATGTTCCACTTGCTTTGTCTATTTATTTGCGTTAAATGACCAGATTCCAGGCACAGAATGGTCACTTTGTTTAGAAAACGATTCGATAGAAAATGAAATTAAAAAATTGTATTTCTGATCGTTATATTTTGAAAAGGGATTTTAAATGTTTATTAAAAATAAGCCAAAAATCATAATAATACGTTAAACTTTTCATTCCTTATTTTTACGAAGAGTAAAATAATGCAAAGGCTCTATCGGTTTTTGTTTTACCCTTTCAGAGAATATATTAACTTTAGATTCTATATTTTCGATACGTAAGTATCAAGCAAATAGCTTTGATTTTGCAGTCATAATTCTAATTTTCTGTTGTAGTGTGCTATAAAGATTTTTAAGAAGTGCATTTATCCCGTAAGAGTTTATCTTTCGTTGTCTGCTCGTGTAATTTGCACTTTGTCTTATTCTATATAGTTTCCTAAAAAGAGGAAGACTAAAATGATGAAAGCTCGAATATGATGAAATATATATGAAAAAGAGTTTTTCTTTTCAAACGATTCGCTCTTTTTTTTAAAAAAAATTCTTATTAACACTCAGAATTATGCTAAATCATTGCTGATTTTTAAAAGGAAAATAATATGCATTTCTAAACTTACAAGTTAAACGGAATTGTTATTTTTTTTCCTTTTTCAACGAGTAGTACTTCGGTTACTGAACACATACTTAAAATTTAAATAACAGCTATTAATTTATGCCAGTTAATTTAAATTAAATTAAAAATTTGGTTTTAAAAAAAGCCCTTCAAACATAATTACGGCTGTAATTTTCAGTGTTAAAAATTCGTCTCAAAGGGAATAACTTTTTAGAAGGTATATAAATTAAAACTTCAAAAAATGAACATAAGGCCGATTTTATGCATTCAAATTTTAAATTATAATTATATTAAATCAATTAAAATCAACCATTCTATAAATTCGACGTAAAAATAAATTACATATAAAGAACCTTTACAGTGATATAGTTACCATATTAATATTAAGTCGAATTTCATTGTTATTAAGAAAAAAATAAGTAAAAAATATTGATTTAGAAAATAAACGAGAGTTATTTTCCGCATTGGTTAGATATTAAAAATTTTTGTTTTGACTCAGTTAATTCATTATTTTTATTTCGATGTTTAAAATTACCTATATTTTTCGTTACTTCTATTCTTATTTTATCTGATTGTCACTCAATTTGAGCAAGAAACTGTATAAAATGTCTACTTTACAAATTTCTAACCTCCCTAAAAATGTAATAGATTGTTTACTTTATTAATTCTACTCGTAGTTTTAAACTAATCAAGGTTTGTTGGTTTTTATAAAAGTGTAAATTAATTTTTGACTAATATGTAATTTTCTAGATGCTTGGAGATTAGTAAGAATTTATAACTATAATTTGTAATAAATAACTTACAACTTTCCGTATAATAAGATAAATGGATAAGCTGCACACTAGTTACATGTTATTCAAAATCTGTATCAAAGCTAACTTTGTAACGATATATTTCTTTAACAGAGGAAACACTTTCTTTTACTCATGCACAAATCAGAATCTTACAAATTACATGAACTTAACATCACACTATAGACTTCTCTGAATTCTCACTATATTCTAGTCATTTATAATCTATAGAAACATGATTGGAATTTACATGATTAATTTAATTACTCTTATTTCAAAAGTTTTAAGGAAACACAACAATTGTTTATCCATAAGGAAACAATTGCGAGAGAAAACTTATTAAAATATTAAAAATAAGAAAAAAATTAATTTAAAAGAATATTTAATCATATATTGAATTAAAAAAAAACAGAAAATATTAAAACTTACTTAATTATACAAATTTTGTACCTTTGTACACACTTTAAAATAATTAATTATTAAAAACATCAGCAATAAATTTTCAAATTCTTGCAAATAAAATAATCTTTAACTTTATTTCATGGTGTGAATAAGAAATACAAGTAGAAGCAAAATAAAATTATTTTTTAAAGGAAGTAAATGTCTCGAATATTGATTAAGACTTATGTTTAAATTGCATTCATTCGAATTTTTTAGTTAAAAGAAATTATTGACCAGAGAAAATAAAGTAACAATATGTAATAACAAATCAAATTTTAAGTTTTTGCCAAAACACAATAAAACAATTTATAAATTTAATTTAAAATAGTACTTTTGCCCATTCTATTTGTAGATAGTCTTAAGCAACTCAAAAATGGTGTCATATATAATCATTATTAATAATTTTTTATTTTTTAAATTTTTTTTCTTCTTTTTAATTAATTTGTAATAGAGTTGCATAAGGATATATAATAATAAATTTAAGCAATACCCCAAATTCTATAGGTTAATTTAATTAAAATAAAAGCAAAGATTTACTTTCATTTAAATAAAGCTCAATATTCAGATATATAAGCTCTAAAATATTAATTTAATATAATAGTTAGTTGTAAATAAATATTGCGGCTCCTTCAAGCAAAAATAATTTTAAAGAAACACTTATAATGTTCTCTAAAGACATTTATAAAGTCCTCTCTTTAGAAAATAAATTTTCATTTTCAAAAAGTCTTTCCATTTGTAAATCTATTTCTTTTCGTTTCATTTCTTTACATTCATGCAGTTTAAAGCTCCATTCTTAAAATCATTTACTCATACAATTTCTTTTCAAGCTCATTTGCAAGTTATAAGATGTTCAATATTAGAACTCTTACTTACATTTAAAACAATATTAAAAGCTTTTCTTACTCTTATATGGAGTAGATTAACTTTTAACACACATGAAGACTCACAAAATTTATAAATGGGTTGAAGTAGTTCCAATTTCAAATTAAGCATATGGTTTTACACTGAATCAGAATTGGTACTTTAAAAGATCAGCATGATTCTATCATTCAAATAAATACTGATGCAAAATTATGTGCATGACAATTTTTATTAATAATTTTCAAACGTAATGTATCGAGGCATAATAGCTTAAGTATAGAAATTAGGGAGTTCTATAGTACTATACATAATAGTCAGTCCCAGAAGAATCTTCCGAAGTCACGTGACTCGCTATATTAAAAACTGAAATGTGAGTGTTCTTTTAGAATGCGTAAGATGATTAAGTTTGTTTATGAAATAACTATGCGCAAAAATTAAGAATACAAGTAAGGGAGAGATGTGCATAATAATATCAAAAGAAAATTTTGAAGTCACGTGACTCAGTGCATTGATAACTAAAATATCGATATATTAATGTTCTGATGGAATTCATTAAACAAATTAGTACTTTTTCATTAAAAACCTTTTTTCAAGAATTATAGATGCATTTTTTTTTTACAAATATTGGTTTTTGCCCTTCATGAGCAAGATTTGAGACACTAAAATATACATTTTTAAATTTCTAACTCAAATTCGTCCATCAAATGAATAAAAAAAATTCGTATTGTATTGTATGGTAATCTAGTAACAAGTACCAGATGTTTAACCTGCATTTCGGTTAAACTTTTTTAACTGTCGAATATCGGTAATTAAACTTCTTTTAATTATCGAAATATATCTTTCAAATACAAATATTTCTGATGCCAATAAATCTTATAAGAACTGAATAACTTTAACTGATAGACGTCAAAACAGTGTTAAGGTGAATCTTAAATAACATCAAAGTACAATGACATAAAAAAATATAAAGAAAGTAAACACTCTGTTAAGTTTTAATAAGCATTTTCTCTTCGATACAAACCACCACTTCGAGATATATAACATGCCTGAAAAAGATAAAAAATATATTGTTTTAAACGAAGAATTTAATAAAAAATACGCATTGAAAATTAAAACTGAATGAATTTTAAGAAATGCAGTTAAAAAACTAAAAGTTTTAAATAGCAGAATTTGCAAAAAATTAGGATAAAAAAACTTTCTCGGTTCGTTTGTTTGTTTATAAGTAAAATTTCAATTACAGGATAATTTCCCACAACATAATCACGCGTAGTTTTTTGTTAATTTCTAACAAAAGTGACTGGATATACATGAAATTATTGTAGAATTTATTTTTTCCAAATTTTTATTAGATTGACTTTAAAAGAGCTAAAATATTGGATTTCATAAGTTTATATTTTTATTTTATTTTAGAAATATTGTGAGTTACAGTAATATTTTTCTTAGAAAAAAAAAACTTTTTTGTTTCTAATTCTTATTTTTCCTATTTCTTTATAAAATCGAACTAGTATTATAAATTTTATTATTTTTTAAAACAAATTTACTGAGAATTTTCTGGTTATTCTTTCAGTTTCAATGCAACTCACAAACGCAATAATCCATTTTTCATGATTTCTTGAAAATTACCTCTGAAACTAAACAACAAAAATCTAAGTTTATTCAATATTCAATATCAATGCATACTGAATGTTTTTAGTAGCCGTTGTTGGACTTATCGTTATTCGCAGCAAAAAGCTTAAAAGTAAACAAAAGTCATTTGTGAAGTATTAAGTAACTTTAGCATGCTTTTTAAACTATGCTTTTTATCGAAAACAAAAATAAATAAATAAAAAAAATAAGCTATGTTTTCCAAAATAGGCTGATATTTGGAAATTTCGTACAGTGGGAAATTAACTTTTAAGAAAAATTAGTATTTAAAAAAGACTAATAAGACAATTTATGAGCAATATTGGGGGTTATTTATGATATTTATTTTTGCTCTGTAAATCGTTGATAGTGCCATCTATTGTCAATCTATGAAGACAAAAATTAGTAGTGAAGAAGTATTAAAATAAGATTAAAAAAAAGTGCAAGAAAATAAAACTTAATTATTTTTATAAATAGAAAAACTTATTTTTAAGAGCTTCAAGTAATTGTGAAATGTAAACTGAAAACTCTTAAGAAAATATTTACAATTTATATTTCTTGTATGAATATTTATATTCACAAAAATTACTTTTCTTTCATTTTTTTAGCCAAAGTAATAAGAAATATTTTATACAAGTTGTAGTTTGCAAATTTTTTTTCTGTAAAATTTATTTTATAACAATTGTAGTAATAAGTCGAAATCACACGGATTCTTTATTTAATCTATAGCTGTTCGTTTTCGTCAGAAACATGTATAATTTAATTATAATAATAATAAATAAATAAATAAGAAACGCACGTGCAATGAAATGCTTAAAATGTAAATTTTTAATATATTTATAATAAGTATACATTTATAATTTTTTTATATTTATCATAGGAATGTAGATAGTAAAATTGTTCCATGAATGGGGAACATCAGCCTTACACAGAGCATAAATATTTTTGTGTGATCCAACGTTCAATATATTGAGCAAGTTACGGTATGTTTTATAACTTAAATAATATTTAAACTTGTTTTTTGTTTATACGCCTTTACAAGGCGATTGTCGATATAAAAATCGGATACAACGAAGCATCATTAGAAAAATGATTAAAGTAACAGTTTCAAGGCATATAAATATCTTATTATTTGAGTTTAGTAGATTTCATTACATAACAGTGCCAAAAATTAACAATTATAATTCTATGTAATAATTAAAAATGTCCAGAAGTTAATTAAGTTTACTTTTATTCTAATCTATGTGCTTCTAAAAGTAATTTCTGTCATTATTTAAGCTTGGACGGAGTAAAATTTAAAAAGAAAAGCCTCATGTTTCAAAATTATGAAACATTTGAATATGATTTTTGGTTATGACGAAACATTAAAAATAATGATAACAGAACGTATGGAGAAAATATTATAACTTCGCTGCATATGTCCGATTTGATGTTATGAACATTCTTAGCGCATAGTAGAGATTATACAAGAACTTTTTATTTTTATCACTGAAACCGCGTGCGTTTTGCATATATAAATTATTAATTCGTAAGTTTCAAATTCAATAAAATCATCAGAAACTAGTCTCAAGTTATTATTTTAGTTAGAGAGAAAATACCAATGAAAATTGAAGAATCAGTTTGGAGAGCAATCACAGTAAAAACAGAGTTATAAATCCTCGAAAGCAATTTATTCGTCGAATAAAGCTCTTGAATGATGTTCTTTACTATTTTTACAACCTATTTTCCCATCATTTCAGCTTAAATACTTTTCAAAACTGAAACCTGCCAAATAATATTTCATCACTTCTTTTTATAATATGTGGTTATGATATGACTAGTAACTGTACAATGGAAAAAAAGGTTTCTATAAATCGAGCAAAATTGTGTCAAAATAACTCCAAGAGAAATAAATAATAGTCGAATTTGAAAACTCCATATATTCAAAATTGATACAGCGTATACTTGTGGCATAACTACCACTATGAATGTTAAATACCAATTCACTAGTATATAAGACATGTTAACTTGATTCTATCTTGCTTTTGATAGATGAAGGTTGACATAGTCGATAAATTAAATCCCCTCAATTGGTGATTGGACGTGATGTGAACTCGATAACATGATGGATGGTTCACATTAAACAGTTGATTTGCTTCATATAAAACTGCTCAAAAAATGATCCGGTGAAGTAAATAAAGTCTCCCGATAATAAAAACAATATAGGAAAAAAATGAGCGAAATGCTATAAACAAAGAATGAAGGAAAAAAATGAGCGAAATGCTATAAACAAAAAATGACAGGAAAAAAATGAGCGAAATGCTATTAACAAAAAAAATGAAGAAAAAATATAATGAGCAAAATTGATCTAAATATATGAATCAACTGAACAAACATCAACATGAATCAACTAGTGGTAATCGTTCATATAATTCTATCAGAGATAAAATTCTGGAAGGGGAGTAATGTGGCGTAACTACCACTATAAATGTTAAACACCAGTTCCCTAGTATATATGACATGTTAACTTGATTCTATCTTAAGATACCTTGTGATAGATGAAGGTTGACATAGTCGATAAATTAAATCCCCTCATACTCATTTCTGAGCAAAATGAGCCTTACACAGAGCATAAATATTTTTGTGTGATCCAACGTTCAATATATTGAGCAAGTTACGGTATGTTTTATAACTTAAATAATATTTAAACTTTTTTGTTTGTTTATACGCCTTTACAAGGCGATTGTCGATATAAAAATCGGATACAACGAAGCATCATTAGAAATATGATTAAAGTAACAGTTTCAAGGCATATAAATATCTTATTATTTGAGTTTAGTAGATTTCATTACATAACAGTGCCAAAAATTAACAATTATAATTCTATGTAATAATTAAAAATGTCCAGAAGTTAATTAAGTTTACTTTTATTANGAATACTGTTGACTGCTAACGAGCATTTCTGTCACACGTTTCTCCCATCACATCACTTTGGAGGTTATGTATTTTGTTCATAAAAGAGTATATGCTGTTTCAATTTTGAACACACGGTGTTTCCCAATGTGATTATTGCTTCGCTTCAGATTGAACACATTTTTCTCAATCTTGAATTCAGATTTTCTCAATCTTGAATTCAGATTAAATTCAGATTGGGCACATTTTTCTCAATCTTGAGAAACCCTTATTTACAGTGTAAATTAGGTTTTCAAGTTTATAAACAACTCATCATCTATCTAGAAAATCTATAAAAAAATGCACCTTTCAATAAATTGGAGAAACTGTAAATACTGGATGTTGGTTTTCATTTGACTATTATTTAATAAAAGCGTTCTATCTTAATTAAATGTATTTGACACGAATTATTTTAAAAATTCGATAAATGTTGTGAAAAAAAGCGTTATTTGTTATAATCGTTAGAAAATGGAGAGAAATAATGTCATAACTGTTAGAAATGGCTGCCGTTACCTTACTAATGCTGAAACGCTAGTTTTTATGCGATTACAGTTAATTTTTCTTTTAACATCGATACAAGTTTGACAAATTTTTATATTATTTATGGTCTGTAAACGAAAGTGTATATTAATATTTTCATTTTTATACGGATTGCCAATATACATATTAAGACCGGCGACAGTGATATTCCTTATTTTTAAGTAAGAGTTGCATTTTAAACCTTTTAATCTGCATTTCAACGCTTCAACTTACTTCATTACTTCTTGCTAGGAGTGCTCTCTGCTGTTCAGGTGTTCGTCGTATTTCCAAATCGGGGTCCGATGGGACGTAATACAATGCTTGCTGGGCGGCCGTTGGGGCATACTGTGTGAGCAGAGGACGCGAGGTAGACAGAAGCGTGGTTAGCGCGGTGAAGCTGGGCCGCCTGCCTTGATTGGCGAGCATCCGTTTCGGTCGCCTCAGCTGTCCGTCTAAGTCGTGGTCGTAATGTACATCCTACGGATTGCAACATCAGAAAATAAAAGAAAAAGTTAACAAATTAAATTTTGCATTTAGTAATCATGTAGCTTTGTTAAGCAATGTAGAACTAATGGTTAGTCTTGTCAACAATTTTTCTATCAAACCCTGATAGAAAATTTACTTTTAGAGAGTGAAATTGTAATTTGTCACAGTCAATTTCACACCTAAACAGCATAATCATCACATATTTTGACAGCTGATATAGCAAGAATTGATTGTGAAAAATTTATTCTACGCAGTAGTATGTGGTTGATGCCGTTTTGAATATGAAAAGCGAAAAGTACAATTGTCGGCATAATTTACTTTTTTTCAATCGAAAAGATAAGAGTTATGCATAAGCAAGAAAAAAAAATATCTGATGCGTATGAAGAAGATGTGTTGTCAGGAAGCCATTGCTAGTTTACAGAACCGGAAAAATTGCGATTGAGATGTATGCACCACTACGTCTGTTTCAGCATATTGCGACAAAATAAAAGCAATAACTGGTATAAAATAGTGAGTAAAATCAAGGGAGATTACTGCATAATTAAATTTATCAAATTCGATCATCCATGATCATTTGAAAAACCCGAAGTTTATTCTCAAAGCTAGACATATGGGTAAGGAATTTTGAGCCGTTGCGTTTACGTCTGTGATTTGCTTTTCAAACGTCAAGAAAATCAACGTCAAGAAAACGTCAACGCATATAGGGGCAAGAAAAGGGCTGTTTACATTTTTACTTTCTGAACAAATTTTTACTTTAAGATGGAAATAACTTTCCAAACATCCCGATATATGAATGTGTGTTACTAAGATTTGGTGAACTGTATTTTTGGTTTCGTAAAGTATTTATTACTTGCATATCTGGCAGTACTTTTACTTTCGTTACTTGTACCGCCGGTACAAGTAAAAAGTACGTACTTTTACTTGTACTTCGTTACTTTTTAAATTTAGTACTTTTACTTGTACTTTCGTTACTTTTTTAGGGAAAAATTACAAGTACTTGTAACGGAAATGTCGAATGAAATCGTTACTTTTTTCTAAAACTCGGAAAATTTTTCCAAAAAAAAAAAATTTAATTTTAAAAAAATGCTTAAGTTTTTTTAATTTGTAAAATTAATGTGCAATATATATGCATTCACAGCTAACTTCGTGTTTAAATACCTTGACCTCCCGTGGAGCGTTTATTCAGCGTGGATAAGCACGTTCTGAGAAATTCTCGCAGCAGACTCAGTGACACCACTTTCGAAATGCAATTATATTGCTTTTGCTCGTATTT